CCCACAGAGTTCCTGCCCTGTCACAGGAACACAGTTATGCCCCCCTTAGGCTCCAGCAGTGACCCCAGAATGAGGCTCTGCCCCAGTGACTCCAGAACTCCCACTGGGCTCACAATACCACCCCTTATGATTCCTGCATTGTGCCTGTACCCCAAGATCCCACCCCTGATTCTCCACCACTGCTGCTAGTCCCAGGTAACTGCTTCATGGTCCAATGATTTGCCAGGGATCCCCCAGCCTTGAACCACCAATGAACATGGACCTGATTTGAGCAAGTACTCACAACCAAGACACCAACAACCACTGCCTAGATAGCTTTACTCAGCTGCCACTGTCACTTCCCTGGGGAGACCTCAGGAAAGGCAATCCTCCACAGTACCGGCCTTTGTGGAGAGAGTTCCATCCAGCCCCCAACTCAAGTTTCCAACAGTGATCTGGGGAACAACCCACAACTTTACACAATAATCATCAAGCACTGGCTTGAACTGTGACTATCACAGGGGAACAAGACAAAACAGAAGGGCTATACTACAGGCTCTCGGTGTGCCTACCTCTCCCTTGCTGGATCAACATTACAGACTAGGGTGGAAAAGTGCCATCTAGGGACCTCCGCTTCTCACTATTTAGGAGGATTAGTGAAACGAAGGAGAAACACACTATCAAAATCTATGGGATTGAGCAAAAGAATTCCTAAAGGGAAAATCCATAGCCTTAAATGCCTGCATCAGAAAGACACAAAGATCATAAATTAACAACCTAATGTCATATCTCAAGGACTTAGAAAAGGAAAAACAAACCAAACTGAAAACCAGCAGAAGAAAATAAATATTAATAACAAAGCCTGGAGCAGGACAAAATGAAATGGAAAACAAACAAACAAAAATACAAAAGATCGACAAAACAAAAACTTGGGGCTTTGAAAAGATAAACAAAGTCCATGGACCTCTTGCTAGATTAACTAGGAATAGAAGAGAAAGGACGCAAGTAAGCTCAATCAGAAATGAAAAAGAAGATATAACACCTGATACCACAGATACAAAACATCATCTGTGAATATGAAAATCTCTACCCACATAAACTAGAAAATGTAGAGGAAATGGAAAAATTTTTGGAAACACACAACCTCCCAAAATTCAATCAGAAAGAAATAGAATTCCTGAACAGAACAATAGTGAATAACAATATTAAAGCAGCAATAAAAAATGTGCCCCCCGCAAAGAAAGGCCCTGGACCAGATGCATTCACAGCCAAATTCTACCAGACCTACAAGGAAGAACTGCCACCCATACTACAGAGATTATTGCATAACATGGAGAAGAAGGGACTCCTCCTTAACTCATCTATGATGCCAGTATCAACTTGATACCAAAACCATAAAAGGACACAACAAAAAGAGAAAACTACAGATCAATATCTCTTAAGGACACACATGCAAAAATCCTCAACGAAATACTAGCAACCAAATTCAACAGCACAGCAAAACGTAATTTACCATGACAAAGTGAGTTTCATCCCTGCGATACAAGGATGGTTCAACATATGTAAATCAATAAATGTGATTCACCACATGAACAAAAGCAAAAATAAAGATCATATGATCATCTCCATATATGCAGAAAAACAATTTGACATATCCAGCTCCCTTTCATGATAAAAACACTCCACAAACTAAGCATAGAAGAAACAGATCTCAAAATTATAAAAACCGTATATGAGACACATACAGCCAACATCATACCTAATGGGGAAAAGTTGAAAGCATTTACCGTAAGAACTGGAACAAGAAACATGTGTCTACTTTCGCCACTTCTGTTCAACATAGTACTGGAAGTCCTGGAAACTTTGGGATAGCACCTATACCCGGGGAAGGACAGGAGGAGAGAAGCTTGGGGCTCCACATTCATCCCACAGGCATCACAGCTGGAGCTGTGAGGCAGATCCCTCCACCACTGCAGACCTCTGGACTGATCAGGGAGCTTCTTGGAGTCTGCACAGAGACATTGCACTGGAGAATGAGCTCAGATGGATTCTCATGGCTGCTGATTCAGAGTTTCTGCAGCTGATGTCACTCTGAGCTTTCAGATGTAGGCATGGAATCTGCACAAGGCTTGGCTTTCCAGCAGCATCCTTGACTTCACCCCTGCTGGGATGGGGAGTGAGTGGGCAGAGGGTATGGTGCCCTGTGCTATGCCTTGTGACTGAGACTCAAGCACCCTACCCTGCCAGCACAAAAATCTGAGGAAAGGTGTTTCCTCAGGCACCACAGACACCACCTGGGAAGCCTCGGGCTACTGGGACTGGCGTACGGTTATAACCCAGGCCTCCTGGTATCCCCAATCCGCAGTTCCATCCCACCCTCCGCAACCAATATGCTGATGCCCAGCCCAGATAGCTCATATTTCACTGTTCTCGTGTCTCTGGTACTGCTCCCCACCCTCACAGCTCAACATGCACAGTCCTTGTGCCACTGAACATCACTATGCCAGTGCCAGAGTGCCCTCACAACTGTGTTTCCCAGCTGCTGGAACAGCAACTATCACATGGCTATGCATACTCAGTCCCCATGCCCAGGAACCATTCTATGCCTGCAAGGCCCCACCCCTGTGGTTCCCACTCTATGGACTGATGCTAAGGTCCCGCCCACAGAGTTCCTGCCCTGTCACAGGAACACAGTTATGCCCCCCTTAGGCTCCAGCAGTGACCCCAGAATGAGGCTCTGCCCCAGTGACTCCAGAACTCCCACTGGGCTCACAATACCACCCCTTATGATTCCTGCATTGTGCCTGTACCCCAAGATCCCACCCCTGATTCTCCACCACTGCTGCTAGTCCCAGGTAACTGCTTCATGGTCCAATGATTTGCCAGGGATCCCCCAGCCTTGAACCACCAATGAACATGGACCTGATTTGAGCAAGTACTCACAACCAAGACACCAACAACCACTGCCTAGATAGCTTTACTCAGCTGCCACTGTCACTTCCCTGGGGAGACCTCAGGAAAGGCAATCCTCCACAGTACCGGCCTTTGTGGAGAGAGTTCCATCCAGCCCCCAACTCAAGTTTCCAACAGTGATCTGGGGAACAACCCACAACTTTACACAATAATCATCAAGCACTGGCTTGAACTGTGACTATCACAGGGGAACAAGACAAAACAGAAGGGCTATACTACAGGCTCTCGGTGTGCCTACCTCTCCCTTGCTGGATCAACATTACAGACTAGGGTGGAAAAGTGCCATCTAGGGACCTCCGCTTCTCACTATTTAGGAGGATTAGTGAAACGAAGGAGAAACACACTATCAAAATCTATGGGATTGAGCAAAAGAATTCCTAAAGGGAAAATCCATAGCCTTAAATGCCTGCATCAGAAAGACACAAAGATCATAAATTAACAGAACAAACAATGTCTGTGACCTTCACAGAGTGGCCTGTGAAGGCTCAGAGTGAGTCAAGAGTGGAAAGAGTAGATTTCTCATCACTCTGTCACTGAAGGTCTGAACAGGAAATTCTCACACATGGGCTACTTTGATATCAGTTTATCTCATCACACACCTCCAAAATATAGGAGACTTTGAGCTCCTATTGCAAGGACAAAGTAGAATTCTAAAATGTGCCATTTAGTTTGTCCATTTTAAGTGCCTCTGAGAAGGTGCTTTCGTATTTTACGAGATATGGGGGGAAAAAGACTTGACTACCCATGCAGTTAACCTTTTCTCATGTCAGTCACAAATATGCCAACTTAACTTTTAAGAATGTCTTAGATGTTTAAGCCCCCGTTTTAGATAGGTTGCTAAATCTTAATGTTACATACATTTTATTAGTAACATTATTGTTATCTATTATGATGGAAAATAATTCTAAAACTCATAGTAACGTTATCAAGAGATATTTACTAACATTTCTCATTAATATTTCTGAGAAATCACTACAGTTTCACCTTATTGTAGCTGGCACAGAATCAATCATGCCAAACTTATCTTCTCAATTTATCTCCTTCAGGGCTTAAATTCTTGCAT